AGTTAGGAAGACGAAAAGGTCAAAAAGAGATTTTATCATCAGATAAAACAGCATCGTCATCACCACTTATTAATAAGAAAAATTCTCGTTCACAATCACCCTCTTCTGAACGTTCACAATCTCCACTGTTAAATAACAAAAAACAAAATGTTTTGCTTCAAAAACAACAGAACCAACAATTATCAGAGCCAACTGCTAAAACAGTTACTTCTAAATCTGAGTCACCAAAAAATCTTAGTCGAAAAGCTACGATTATAGCAACCACAAAAACGTCCATTCGAGAAAAACAAAAATCTTGTAAAAGTCGTTCAGCAACGACAAATCGTTTAACTCCAATACTTGATCGTTTGAGAACCAAATCCAATAATCGTATTCCTGTTGTATCGTCTGCCTCTTCTGTAGCGTCTTCTCATATTGTTCTTACCAATACAAAGTCGAAGAAAAAACAAACAGTAACGATCAAAAAACGTTCTCGTTCATTGGAAAATGAAACCGATAATGAACATGTTCAAGTCTTATCAGTGTAAGCGTGTAACGTTTCTTTTAACTGAAGCGAGCACTTATGTTTTTGTCTTTCTTGCTATTTTAAGTGCTACTACGTCAACTGATGAAAAGCCAGCTAAAGGCGCAACTGTTGGTAGAAAGAATAAACGTTTGAAAAAGTAAAAACTGAAAATTTCAATCAATACATTTCATTGGTTTTTCATATGCTATTAGGCACTCTATTTACTAGAAAATAAACTCAGAATTTAATTTTGTTCGTTTTTTTTGTTCTTCAACTAGACTCAGATAAATAAAAAAGAATATAAAATTTTGTCACCTGCATTGATCGGTACGTCCTTTAAGTATGGTCTCAGGATTCATTCAGTTAGTACATCTACAACTATTCAGCTAATCATTTTTTCTTTCTCGTTCTCTGCTTGGTGTAGGTGCTTGTGACTTTCCTTGTCTAATCTATTCGTAATACTACTAAATTGTATTAGTCTCTATAAATCTAAAGTATTATGTGATATACACAAGGAAAATCCTATCGTATAAATATGACTAGGCGTTACAAATGATTGAAATGAAGAGCCAATCTTATTGTTCGAATTTGTACTTATCTTAATTTCAGATATTCTCAATGGTTATCACTCGTCGTCAAGCTTCTGCTTCTGTAGCTTCAACAGTTGATTCAAAAACGCCAGACAAAATAAATGATCAATCAAAATCGACAACACGTCATCGTCCATTTACTAGGACCAGCAAAAGACTATCATCGCCATCTCCTTCTAATTTTATTCATCGATCGTGTCCTCAGTTATCAAAAAAATGTGTTAATAACGATAATGTCAAATTGTTTTCGTGAGTATTTAATATTTTAAACTTTTTTCCCTCACAGACGATAATTGAATCGATTTTGTTCGTTTGTTCTTCTTCGTTTATCACAATTGTAGAACCACGTCTACGCGCGATTCATCATCTGATTCTTCATCCACCTCTTCTCGTTCCTCCTCATCTGATACATCATCCACCAACGTATCACGTTCTTCATCATCCGATTCTTCTTCAAGTTCACGTACTGTACAAATGTCTACATCAAATCTCGATTCATCCAAATTCACAGCAATATCATTGATAACAGAATCTATTGATAAAATGCAAATTAATATTACTAAAAATAATTCTTCCTCGAACGACATCGCTTCCATGCAACAAGGGAATGTTCTTCATGAAAATTACCTTATTTCAGTTTATAAAAGTAGCAGAAATGGCCATTTTCTTTGCCTTCATGGCTCCACATATCAAATCGATCGATCAATGGATGAAAAAATTAAGTGGAAGTGCAAACAGAGTAGAAATGAGATAAGATGTAGAGCAAAAATCTATACAACTAAAAACTTAGGAACTGATGAAATACCGGCTTATCAATATTTAGAGTCGAATAGTATTCAACATTCACATGATATTGATCAAGATCAACAAAAAGTTGCAAGTTTTATATCGAAACTTAAAGATATTGGAAGAAGTCGTCGAACTGTACCACCATCCAAAATAGTAAATGAATTAGCAACGTCTATGAAATTGAGTGATAATCAACTAGGAATGATTCCCTCTTATGCTTCAATATGTAAGTTAATAAGTCATGTGTTTTTGCCTTAATTTCATTATGTCTGCTCTCTTTGTAGATCAGAAAGTCTATCGATCTAGAAGCAAAACCATGCCACCACTTCCAAAATCCATTAATTTTGAAATTCCAACAGCATTTTCTGTTGCTTCGTCTGGAGAAACTTTTGTTTTTTTCGATCATCTTTACGATAAAGGAACGAAAAGAATTTTGGCATTTTCGAGTTCAATGCAATTAAAACATTTATTTAGCTCAAAACTAGTATGTGTTGATGGAACATTTTCGATTGTTCCTAAATTATATAAACAACTGGTAATTATCCAAACTATTGATCGTCAAAAGTATCATGGTAAATGAATAATTATTTCTTTTTTTTCTATTCTTGGATATATGTATTCTTCCTTTTGATTTAGTTGATTATTCTTTTCTTTATGTCTATTTGTTTGATTATAGCAACACCTGTTGTTTATGCACTTCTCAATGACAAGAAGACTCGAACGTATAAATTACTATTTGACGCATTGAAACGTAAAGCAGAAGAGATAGAAATGGCATTTGAACCAGAGAGAATCATAAGTGATTTTGAAGGAGGAATGATTTCCACCGTTAAAAAACAAGTAAAACTCTTTCAAAACATTTATAATATTTGTCTTTTATTTTATCTCCATTTCAGCTTCCAAATACAACACATCAAGGTTGTTTATTTCATTTGTATCAAGGTTTAACAAAGCAAATGAAAAAACTCGGCTTATGGTCGTCTTATAAGGATCACAATGATTTACATTTATTTATCAAGAAAGTAATGGCAATCGTCTTGCTTAAACCAAAAGTGATGGATCATGCTTATCAATTGTTACTTAATCAATATTTAAAGCAAAGACGATTAAAACAATTCATTGTCTAATTAACAAAATTTATGTTTTACTTTCAAAAGCAATGGATGGCATCCAGTATGCGATCAATGATCACTTTTTACGACGTTGATTTTAAAACAAATAATTGGTCGGAAAGTAAGAATAAAAAAATGATGACGATCCTCATTGATAGCTTTTCTTCAAACACTTTAGGTTATAACTCAGCACTACAACGACGAGCACAACAAAATCATTTATCCATCTGGGCATTAATAGAACTTTTGATTACTGAAGAAACTGCTGTTCGAATAAAACATTTTCAATTATTAAATGGCAAAACAAGACGTGTTCATAAAGCCGTTCGTGACGATGTCTTGGAAATCAATAAAAAGATAATTGAATGCAATCAAAAATTTGAGGATGATGAAATTCAACTTGACGAATGTTTATTGTCACTTGCCTCATTAGTCGGTGTGAAATATGATAAGTGGCGTAAATTGAGAAAGAAGAACAGAAAAAGAAAAGATGACAACGCTGATAATTAATAACATTTATTTTCAATTGTATATGTCCCTCTAGTTGTTTCCTTTCTCTCATTGGCTCTTTTTCTTATTGGCTCTTTCTCTTATTGGCTCTATTTCTTATTGGTCTCTCTCTTTATCTTTTGATTCCAGATAACAAATAGTTTCTATTTCTTCAATTAAATTATTTCTTCTCACGTCGTTTCTCTACAAAAAAATTTTCGATTTGAAATTATCATCGTCGATAGATTTAAATTTTTGTTTAATCATCGTCAATGGAATCATTAACATTTTGGGAAATTGCCTTTAAAAGTGAAGGAGATTATAAAAATTACGGTCAGTATTCAGATACGAAGACGAATACATCATGAGCGAAGATAACTTATGTTTCTTTCACATTTAGATGAACTTGTTCAAGCAGCTTTAGCTGATGATTTTTATCAAAAGATTTATCCAAGTGTAGCATCTGAAATATTATTAGATAATTTACTCGATTTCGTACAAGATATCAATAACAGACCAAAAGAAAGTGGAGTGGATCATGGTACTTTATATAAAAAGCCTAATGGTCGACAAATTGACTCGTCACGTCGTTATTATCTTGTCAGAGAACCAGATTCTACTGAATTTAATTTATATGTAAGAATAACAAAAGGAAGAAATTTAGGCAAGTGTGTTTATTATTTTGTTTATTCGAAATTCCATGTTGATTGAGAGAAACATTGAAATGATTTTCTTTTTTTTCTCGTTTTATTTAAGGGTTTTATCGTATGTATAGAAATAAAGATGAAGTTGAACTGTTGATTCAATACGGACTCAATTATTTGAAATGTCAAGCAAAATTACCTATAGTTGTAGATTATCTGAACTTTGCACAAGACTCTGAATATTTCATTGCTCGAGAAAGATGCGAATTTATATCTCGATTATTACATAGTAATATAACAGCAACAAGAAATGTTGTAAAATTTGATTATGATGTTAAAAAGTTAGGAAGACGAAAAGGTCAAAAAGAGATTTTATCATCAGATAAAACAGCATCGTCATCACCACTTATTAATAAGAAAAATTCTCGTTCACAATCACCCTCTTCTGAACGTTCACAATC